GCCCCCAAAGCCCGCGCGCCGCCGCGGAGCGCGCAACTTGCGCCCCGGCCGCCCCGCTGCTACAGCCCTGACCCTTGCCCCTATGCATTTAACTTTCCTCTTTATCGCCGCTTGCTGTCGGTTTCCGCAAGGGGCCGGGCCGGGCGCTGCGCCGGCTCCAGGGCCGCCTGCGTTTCCGCCTCGGCGTTGCTCGAACCCGAGCAGAAACAGCAGCGCCCAACAGTAAATCTTTTGAAACCAGATTTATTCTCTGTCGGCAGTAAAAGGGGTTACTGTATCAATAATTACACCCGGGTCTGACAGTCGCCGATGGTCATCTGGAGCTCAAGGCTCGTGTTCCCACCGCTGGTTTCTTTACCCTACGAAGCTGCGCGAAAGGCAAAGCCCGGCGGCTCCCCTTAAGTTTGCCGCTTTACGGGGCTTAAGCAGCTATCGACAGAAAGCCCAAATTCGGAAGCCAAACGGCCCTTCCGTTTTTGCAAAGCGGATAACCTGATTCGATATTGAAACGCTTACCCGTGTGCATTTTACTTCATTTATTAGCTCGTAATTAAATAAATCAGCAACAGAAATTAAAATCTAAATCACAAAAGGTAATTATCCAGTGTATTTCAAGTGCATTTTCAAATATATAATTCCAATATTCAAGCGTTATTATATAAGCAGAATCCAAATTTCTTTTGAATATATTTAAATAACATTTCAAGTATATTTATGGAATGTTAGAAATAGAACAAGCAATATATATGAAACGAAAAATGTAAACTTGTTAAGTTCAGACACTTCAAAAGACAATTAACAAAAGGACCATGGTAAAATCTACCTTTTTAAATGGTATCTTCTTTAGCAGAAAATGTCCTTGAAGTATCCAAAATGGCATTTTAACTTCTGTTCACCAAATCACAAAACACCAACATCCACAATTTCAAAGACAATGTGAAATCACAATATCTGATACAAATTAAAAGGTACATTAGGGTTGGTTCGGGTGGCAGATCCAAATAGCTTTTTACTCACAGAGAGATTACATAAAAATACTGGCGTTTGTTATAATCCGTTGGTACCGTTTCTAGGCAGGATGGTCCGGGTCACGTTAAGTAAGAGCCAATTTTGCTTTCCGGGTAACGTTTGGGTTTTCTCTCCCTCTCCGGGGACTGCAAAACCGCGGTGAAGAGGAATGATACTCGCTGGCTTTATTATTATTATTATTATTATTATTTTCCTTTGCGAAGAGCCTAGGCTATATTCCTTTTAAAAAAAGAGAATATTGTTTGCGTCGTCAAGTGGAAATTTTCGACTTTTCGAACAGGAAGCTTAAACTTCATCGGGATATAAGCAGATGTACCGGTGAGGCCCGTTTGTTTTTGCATTTTTAAATTCACCTCTAAAGTTTCTCCAAACTTTTCGGGTTGGTGAGTATTTCCCTAGCGAGTCGCCACGTTTGTTTGGCCGCGTTTTCCAGGGCCGAGTGCGGCTTGCCCTGAAACAGGTCTAAGTTGGGCAAGAAGTAATGCGGGCACCTCCGGCACTGGAGGCACGAGATGAGCTGCAGTAAAATCCCGTTGAGGCGGTCGCCCAAGCACGACTCGTCCCAGTCCGACTCGCGCGGGTGCTTTTCGCATTCGTACGAAACCAGAGTCTTCATGTGGTAGTTGTTGAGGGGCTGGCCCGGCAGCTCCAGGTGCCGGTCGCGCAGCGTTTTGAGGATGGAGAGGCATTTCTTCCTGCAGCCGCCCATCTGCAGTCTGTTCTCGGCCTCGGCGAACTGCAGCACCCACGCGTCGCTCTCGGCCGAGCTCTGCTTGCCGGCCAGCGAGTGGCACTCCTTGGAGAGCAGGTTGAAGCCCTCGGCCTTCACCTCGGCCACGCGGTTGGGCCCCGGCCAGGGGATGTGCGGCAGCGGCCAGTGCGCCGCGCTGCGCGGCCAGATGCCCGTGCACTTGAAGGCGGGCGTGATCTGCACCACGTATCGGTCCCTGATGCGCAGCTTCACCTCGCTCGTGTCCGCCACCATCTTCACCACGTCGCGGTAGCTGCACTTATCCACGGCCTGCGCCACGAGCGTCTGGAAGCGCGAGCGGATCTTGCGCGCCGAGAGGTAGCCCGAGGCCGTGATGAACTCCACCCAGAGCGACATGCTCCGCTTGCGGCCGTCGCTCAGCTTGAGCACGGCGCAGCCCGGCAGGGAGCCGTCGTCCACGAAGTTGAAAACCCCCATTTGGTTCAGGTAGAGCACGACCTCGAACTCCGTCGGCGAGATGACCTCGAGCCCCTCGTAGCGGTTGTCCATCTCGTTGAGGGAGCTGATGAAGCGCGGCTCCTGCACCTCCACCTCCTTGAGCACGTCCGACACCACTTTGCAGACCTCGCGGATGGTTTTGGCGATGGCAGCTTTCCGCGCCTGGCATTTCTCGTTGTAATACTTGTTCAGGTGGTAGACCAGCTTGGCCTGGGCCGCGATCATGTTGGGGCAGAGATCCGGGTTGTACACCGGAGTCTCGCAGTAGGCGGTGGGATCCAATGCGGCTGCTGAGGCTGGCGCCAACGTCCGAGGAGAAAGCGGCGGCCGCGCTGCCGAGCGCAACGAGGGGCTCTGCGAGCGCTGCTCTCTCGCTGCTCCCTTAGATCCGCCGGCTCCGAGTGCGTGTGGCGAGGGAGGGGGAGGGGGACCCGAGGGGGCGATGGTTTTTTCCTCCCCCTTTTTTTTTTTTTTTTTTTTTAAAGGGTCCGTGGGTGCGAGGAGAGCATCGGGAGCGGCACCTTCCCCGGCAGCCGGGAAAAACAAAAGTTGAACTGAGACCCCAGCGAGGCTCCCGCTAGGCAAAATAATAAAACCTCCTCGTATTTATTTATTCTATTTTTTTTTTTTTGCCTCCCCCCCGTAGTAGTCACTGTGTGTGTGTGTGCGGGGTTAATGGGATGGCGGGGATGCGCCGCGCGTGTGCGGGTGTGTGTGCGTGTCAGGAGGAGCCGCGCTGCGTTTGTATAAGAGCCCCTATGCGCTCGTGTGGAAATTATAAAGGCAGGGCCAGGCAGGCGGGCGGCCAATCGCCACCGGGCTCGTCAGCGCAGCCTCTCGCGGCTCCGGCGCCGTAATTAATCCCTCTCCGGCAGAGAGACGCGGACACACGCGCGGAGGCAGCGAGAGGAACCGGCCCCGGCCTGCGCTCCCGCCGGGGCCGCCCGGGCCGCGCTGCCCTTCCCGGGA